AGGAACGAACCCGCTCTGATACCATATTAAGAAGTTTTTGTATATTGATATTGAATAAATTACATGAGTGAGTATTTATACAAGAAAGAATCGCTAAGAATGACTAAGCGATGACTAATCAATCCTATCACAATCCTAATCACAATCAATTCTAATCAATCATAATCAATCCTAATCAATCATAATCAATCCTAATTAATAGGAAATAAAAACGGAAACATGTTTGAATTCTAATTTTCTACAAGAAGAGAAAGGTTTGCTAGCCAGTCTGCACAAACATTTCCTTCCCTGTAAGTATGAAGTAACCCGACAGTCCAATCCTTTGAGAGCCAATCCCGTATTCGAGTCACTAAATGGAACTCACAGGAATCATTACCAATTTTGGTGAGCAAAATAATAACATAAGCTGAATTACTCTCTAAAATAATCTTTCTCCAACCACCAACCCAAATTCTTTCCAAACCTTTTAGGATACCCACAGTTCAGCTATAATAGTAGTACATAATTTTTATTATGTGTTAGTTAGATATTATAACTTTTATTCGTATGGCATCACACAAATTTTAGATTTTGTCAAACGTAGTCAGAGTATATCTTAAATGCTACAAATATGAAGGAAAAAAAAATCAGATTTAAGTGTTAACAACTATAAAGGGACGAGAGAAAAAAATAAAAATTAAATGTGTTATTTTTTTAATTTTAAAAAAGGATGTAGTGAGTCTTCAATATTTTCTTAGTACTAAAAATAATGTTAACGTAGTAGAATATATAAAATATCTTTGGATAATTTAGAATATTTGTATATAATTTCTTATGAATAGTTTCTTTATTTTTTATATTTTGTGGTTTACTTTTTTATTTAATTAGAATTTGGATTTAAATATTAATATAAACAGAAGCTAGTGTTTTACAATTTGTATCAACATGATATCATAAAATATTAATATTAAGAATTTGATGTACGGCATAAGGAGGAGTAAAAGAAGTAACTTAAATTGTAAAGTCAAGTCTTCCATTGGGTGGTCCAATGAATTTCGTAAGTGATTGATTTTGCCATGTATGACAGTGAAGAGAGAACAACGCCTTCATCTGCAGAGTGTTCAAGCGCGGATGCAAAAGGTAGAGAAAGAGAAAGTGCGGTAGGCAAAAGGTTCAATAGTCATTGACCTAATATGTGAGTGTGAATTGTTTTGACAGTGTGCAAAGGTGTGCAATCTATCACTCAATCCTAAATAATTTAGCTTATACTTGAAAAGAAAGAAACAAAAGATAAAGACTGCATAGAATTAAGATAAGATAAATAGAGACAATATTGTAGCTCTGTTTTTACAACAATTCCTTACACAATCACTTTCCACCGTCTCTCAGCCACCAAACATCCCTCAATCACCGAAATAGTGCAAGAATCAACCAAATCCAGGGAGTGATTTTTAGATATGGTTCTAATGGCAAAGCATGTATGAACCATAGTGAGATATATGATTATAGAGTAAATACTCTCTTTGCTCGTTAGCAAATTTTATAATACCTGCTTTAGTCCCTAACAAATAAAAAGACTATTCGTGGTCCTTAAAAAAATTAAAAAAATACTAATTTAGTTGAAATCGTGGTCCCTCACAAATTCAAAAAAGATCCACATTAGTCCATCAAAATGACTAAAATGAGTCTATTTTGAATTTCTTAGGGGCCACGAATAGCTTTTTTATTTGCTAGGGACTAAAGCGGGCATCGTAAAATTTGCTAAGCACCGAAAATGATATTTACTCGTGATTATATGAAACAATCAAGAAATAATAAGTTATAGGGATATTTTGTCTTATAACAAAAGTAGGAAATGTGATGCATATAGAGCCCATTATACCATTCCAGACCAACAAGCATATAAAATATAAATATATCATTACTTTATAGTTTAAATTTTCTTTTCTTTTTTATTTTTAGAAGAGAGAAAAATAATCACAAATATTTTTTTTATTAACATGAAGTTTTCCTTTGACGCGAAAGCACTTGTAGCCATTCCTCATTGCTCTCGTGCTTATTGAGCTCAGGTACTATTGCGGGTCTTGGGTTACACTCTAATTTTTTTTATTTAGTAATTTAAGTTTGAGCTCATAAATAACTATTGTGACTTAGGGTTATTTGAGTCTATATTTTCTTGTAGTTAAGTGCATAGTAACGAGTGCGGTGAGAATAATATAGTAACAAACTTGCCCTACAACAAAAATGTTGTGTTTAGAAAATATAAGTCAAATCATATTTTTCCAAAAGCTCTAGAAAAGCCACATACAGTGGAGTTAGATTTTGGTTTGAAAGAAGATGTAATCAATATACAGGTTGGAACAAAAAGTTAAGATTTTGAGGTTGCCGAACATGACGAGATAGAAGATGTAGATTTTAAAACCAAGGCTGAAGTTGAAGCATCAATTGGTTTGGTGTTGAGGATATCCACAATGGAAAAAAAAATCATCTGAGAGCTATACACTTGGAATATATTCTTCATGCTGATGATGACAGTTATGCCTTGTGTTATTAGTTCTCTAGTGCCCCAAGAATGAATATAAGAAAGAAGAGATTGTATCAGTTCCTTATGCAGGCACAGTTGGGAGTTTGATGTATGTTATAATTTGTATTCATCCATATATTGCTCAAACAGTGGGAGTATCGAGCAATTATACATCCAAGCCAAGAAAAGAGTATTGAATATTTGTGAAGTGTGTGTTCCATTATCTTTGTGGTACATCTAACCTTGAGTTATGATACTCAAGGGGAAACCACCATTAGAGCTGAAGTACTTTGCGAGTGTTGATTGGGGAGGTGACATTGATAGTAAAAGATCTACGAGTGAATATGTTATTTCCTTATTTGGCACAATTGTCAATTGGATGAATAAGAGGCAGATCATAGTTGCTTTACCAACTTCTGAGACAAAACACATGGCCTTGACACATATCGTCGAGGAAGTTACCGGTTGCACAAATTGTGTAAAGAACTTAGCTTTACACTAGAAGAAGTGACAATTGGGTATGATAGTCAGAGTATTATATTCTTGGCTAAGAACCTAGACTTTTATTCAAAGACCAAACACATCGACATACAATACCACTTTAAGAGAAGATAGAGGAAAATGTTCTAGAGTTGAAGAAAGTTGACTCAGGTGAACGATATTGATTTTCTAACCAAGGCAATGAGTACAAAGAAGTTTGAATGGTGTACAATAGCTACAATGGGTTTGAAGAAGCTTGCAAAGTACTCACCAAATGGGAGAATGTTGAGGATGACTCCTACTTTGCATCTAAATAATAACTTATGTTCCCTTACCACAAATAAAGCCAATAGGGATCCCGCTTTCGAGTGAGCGGGCATGAGTCTATGGGCTACCCCGACACAGGGATACATGTGGGAATGCCCATGTGCTCGTAGCAGTCTAGTACTGTTATGAACCTTGAGTTATTTTGTAAATTTCGTTTGTTTAGTAATTTGGACTCGAGCACATAGATAATTCTGTTTAGGGTTATGTAAGCCTATTTATATTCTATTGTAACTAAGTACATTCTTTAGAATGATCTAGGATAAACGGTGTCTCATGGTTTTCTTTCTTTCTTCTTTTTCTTTTAGCTTTCGTTGTGCATATGATTGTATGATTGAAGAATTCGGTCTTTACACTAACATGGTCATCAGCCACCACCATCATACCCTGTTTCCCAAACTCATCAACCACAGCATCAAAGGCTTCTACGAGGATAATATTCTCCATAGAATGGTTGTAAGGTCTCAGGTCTAACCTAATACCAGGGAGCTTCATTGAGTCTAATGTTTCTCCAACTTTGTGGCTGGCGTAGCGGGTGAACATGTGCGTTGCCCCTGTGTAGCGAACACAGTTGAAGCCAAGTTCCTTCGTTTCGACTACAATGTCTTTCAAGGGTATTAAGTCAAGACCCTCTCCAACCATTGAATTGAGGTGGCTTGACCAGTTCACACAATGCTGCTTCTCCCTTTTCCCTGACTCATCCATTATCCATCTCTTGTGGGTTGAGAGGGGGAGAGAATTAGAATGTGATTCAAACAGAGAAACTGCTAACAAGAAGATCAAGCACAAAGGTTTTCTCATCATTTTTTGCTCTGAAAAAGGAAGGTGTTTGCTTTTCCCTGCACTCCATCTTTAGTGGGTTATATTGGAATTTTGGCCATGTTGTTAGTTACCATGATTTTGAGCTTGAAAAGTTGAGTTTTTCCAATTGTAGAGGAACCTTAGCTAGTGTCTGTTTCATTTGCCATATATATATATATATAGCAATAAATACTGCTTGATTGGAAAGACCTGTATAAATGATTGAAGTGTTGCTTTCACCGTACATAAAATATTCAATTAAAACTGTTCCTGTGTCAGAGGCCCGGTGTTGTAATGCAAAAGGAAAATTTACTGTTTCAGCTATATATTACAATAATGTATTCCACATCACTTAAACAATACCTTAACGAGTAAAAGTATAATGATCATTATATACATACAGGACCAAAATCTGTGTTGGACGAATCTAGAGGACTAATTCTTTATTTAATCCTTCTAAGTTTTTTGGTATATTGAAGATTGTCAAGGATAGATATCTACGGTGATTATAGAAATAATTTTTAGGATAATGCTGCTGACTGTGCTGGGGGTCTCATTGTTGAGATAATGTACAAAATGCAAGGTTATATGTAGGTGAAGGGATTGGCATGAATAAATGACACAAGTTCAAATGGTAGTAACATTAACAATGACTTCCTAATGTATCCCAACTATCCAGTCCTCCTAGTAAATGGGAAGCCGTTAAAAACCTGAATTAGATATTACTCAAATTATTGGAACATAAGGTTACAATAACGAGCCTCTCACAATGAGCAATTTATATGCTGTAAAGTAAAGGTCTAAAAAGAAAATATGACTTCTGGCATGAAACTTGAATTGTAAGACACTGCAGTCTTTTTTAATTTTTTCTAACATATAAATGAAGACAGAGTGAATTCAAGCATCAAACCTCCATTTTATTAGAGAGATGTAGTTAAACCACTATCGTCACAACTGCTATACAAGAGTAGCAATGGTACCATATAAACAATAAGCAAATCAAAGCACATTAAAATATTCAAAACATTTATGACTGGAACCATTTTACATCAGGCACAGGGCTGAGAAGAATTTGAAAATATGTATATCAGGAACCAGATGGCAAACTAGTAGAGAGTTCATTTCAATCAACAATTATACCAAGTGGCTGATGAGGCAATGCCTAGATGTTGAGACTTGAGACCAGCACAAAAACAACTCCTATGAAAATTGTGTAAGGAATTTACCGCCACAGAGAAATCAGGGAACTACAAGCTTCACACAATCTTCACCAAGTTAAGTACTCTTTGCCTGTAGTAAGAATGAGGCATGCAACCAAAGGATTTGTGTATGAGGAAATCTTTGAAAGCCACAGCTTAGGTAAAAATGAAGTGTAAACCCTAACCACTTAAGAAAGGTGACATCTGCTATTGCTATTCAATCTGGATGCTATAAAATAACACAACCACATTTCTTCTGTGTTGATTCGCTTGCACCTTTCTTCTCTGTATCATGAGAAAAGACCAAAGTTTCAATAAATATCAGATAAAGCACCAAAACTAAATGAAATAAAAATTGGTCAAACAGAACACCAGCAATTTTACATTTATATACAAGTAGTTTCCCAGTTTTGACTTATTTAAAAAGCATTTGGTACTTGAAGTGCACTACTATAACCGATCATTGAAAAATTGAGTCAAGTGTCTTCCAATAGAGTCCATCTGGTTATCAAGACAACTACACAAAATTTGATCTTTCTGCTTTCTTCTCTTTCTCAGACAAAAGGAAAGAGTTAATAAGTACACACACACAAAAAAAAAAAAAGAGTTAATTAGGATTAGCATAAGTCACCCAATTTATTTTAAAAAAATAAATAATAAAAAACTCCAAATTTTGGAAAAGAACTGCACTTTCTTATATGTATTTTGAAGCAGATAGATGGTGTGGATTAGTGGTTTTGTTCTGACTCAAGATAAGTTTGAAAATTGGATTAGGACAAATAGTACTCTAAAAGAGATTAAGTACCCGTATGTTTGTGTGGGTGTGTTTTTTTCTTAAAGAAAAGAAAACATTTTTTTTAATTAAAAAATGTATCTAAGAAATTTCAAGATCATTAGATGAAGTTTTTTTGGAAAAAAAATAGGGCTAAAAACCCAGAGAAAAAAACAGTTTTAGTACTTTTTTCATAAGTAGAAAAAGTAATTTCTGAAAGAAAGAAAAAAGATATAAAAAAGGAATGTCAGGAAAGCACTTTTATAAAAACCTTACCAAAAACACACCCTAAATGTTTTCAGTCCTAACTTCTCGAGAGTATTTCACAATTAAGAAAGTAAAGTACAGTATAAAAATGTTAATGGAAAAAACGAGGGATTGCTTTTCTATGACAGCTGAGTTATAGGATGATACCTCATAAGTAATCTGTCCATTAAGGAAAGGTTTTATTATTAAAGGAATTTATGCAAGTATTCTACCAAAACCAAATCCAACATTCAATAACGTAAGTTATCTTTGGCACTCAAAAACATTGATCTACTAAAGAATTACATAAATAATGTGATTGAACCCTCTTAAAAATTATGAAATAAAGGAAATGAACTGTTTCTACCAATCAAAAAGAAAAATTATAAAAACATGTTTTGCTACAGCCAATGAGAAACTATTAAAACTTATCCCAGTCAACCTTTTAAGAAAAATATTTTATCTTGAAGCTGCTTACACAAAAGAAAGCTATTAAAACTAGCTTTTGGCATGTCTCAGAAATAAATATTAGACCTTTCTCCATAGTAGGCGGTTGCACAACCACATGCATCGTCGTAACTGTACCGGGTGCATCACATAATGGGCTCTGGCATTCCTCCACTGTTCTGTTGTTCTCCAGTATTTTTCCTGCACTAATTAACTTCACATCTTTTACAGTCCTTGGGCCGTTCTCCTTATCTTCAAAACAGAAACACAAACTTACAGATCTCATATATCATTAAAAGGCATGACAAAAAGTTCAGGGTGAGGCTCATAAATACTAATTACTACACCAATATGACAAATATCTGGATGCATGACAATGTCTACTTAAAATTTCATTATGCAGTCCTGCTACCATTTCCAAATACAACTTAATGCAGCTATATTATTCTAGAACATGTCATTTTCATTATATCTAATTAAAAGCAAGTTGCGGTGAATATGGAAACAAGTAAACTTGGATCTCACTGAAAGTATATGAATAATGTGTGTACACACATCAAGCAAGATCCACAATAAGCAATGGCATGGACACTAAGCTACAAATATTCTCTTGAAAAATTACTAACCAATAAAGAACACCTTAATCTTGAAAAGCTTCAGCTTAAAGATTTAGTAAAATAATGACATATAAATATCTCCTTGTAAAGGTACTAAAAAGGCACCAATTCTGAACAAGTCAAACAGAATGGTATGAGATGAGGAGAAGAAATGCAAAGTCTCCTCAATTTCTGAAGGAAATCTTCCTTAAAGGAATTGAGCAAACAAAACATTTGCGCATAGACACGTTCAACATACCTGTGCCTGAGGATAGGAAGGACATCATATCTTTAATTCACATTAAAAGTCATGATATTACATTAAATAGAAAAATCTTTATAAGCATGAAATATTTTGATAGTTCTATGTTACTTTGGTGATGGCCGTATCCGCACACACTCAAAAAGTAATAACTATATACTAAAAGGAAATTCTTACTTCTTCATCCTCAATATATCTTCTAAAGTAAATGAATAAATCCAGCCCAAGAGCCTTAGATCAAGTGGCACCAAGTTCCTTCAGGGACAAGGACCACTTGATCCGGAAATCAAATCCCACTAAGGCCACTTTGCATCAAATTTAGCCTATCTCGCCCCCCACATACCAGGTCTTACACCTCCTTTATAACCAGAAAAATAAAATACACATAAATGATCCTGCACTGGCTGTCACCATTTTTTTCAATCCATCCAACTCCAACCAAACTACCAGTCTCTCTTAATTTGTAGTACAATGTTCGTTATAACAAACAGGAACAATACTCAATTCTCACATTGATAATTTAACTATTAAACAGGAAGACCAAAAATATAAGCATAAAGGAAAAGATAATAAGACAACTAACCTTTTGGCCACTGAGCAAGTATACTTTCTTTCAGTGTTGCAATACTAGTAGCAGCAGGAAAACTTCTGGGGCCAATATCAGAACCATCAGTCAACCGAAACTTGATCTCAAACTGATCTTGATTCCCAGCCATGCTCAGAGATCCAAGGGAACAGGTGGAGTTAAAAGAAATCTAATAGCTTCAGTTGTACCTCAAAGACTATGAAGAAGAAGTATTCCAGTGAATCACTTCAATTGAGTTTCAATAATGAAATAACAGGATTTCATTCAAAGGCTATCACTCAAGTATCCTGCAAAAATTAGGCAAAAAAGAAAAGGTTAAGTAAGAGTTCTCTCAGGCACATATCCATACCCAAACATAACATGCAGAGCACTCTGGCATGGGAAACTAGACAAATCATTGAAAGTTTTGAGAGGTTTGAAATGTTCTTATAAAAAACTCATGTCATAAGAACATGAATGAAGAAATTGGGAATAACTGAGGTGGATACATCCCAAAAGAATAAAGGGAATAAAACAATTCTTAAAAGTAAACATCATAACATAATTCAACACACTGACACCAGTATAAAGGAATCTCAAACAGCAACAGCAAAAAGAGATCCAATCTTCAAATGGGTATCCATCAAATTAAAAAAATAAAAAAAATCTTAAATTTTCAACTGGGTTACCTACAAAACAAAAAAGGATTGGAAAAAGCAGAATAGACAATGGAGAAACCTGAAAAAGAAAAAAAAAAATCTTTTTTCTGTTTCTGATTTGGGTATGTATGCCACTGATCTGAGTAGTAATTGTGGAAGTCACAGAATTTGTTTTCAGAAACCCAGATGCAAGAAGAAGAAAAAGAACAAGAAAGTGGGTGCTTTATTTCTTTTTCTTGTGATTCCTTTTTCTTTGTTGGTTTGTGTTTTGCAATAACTAATATTAAAATCGGAGAAAAAGATGAAATGGGTTAACAAGGAACGAGGCTGCTTCGGAATTTTCAAAGTCTTCGAAATGTGTGGTCAATGACTCCATTCTTTGATGGCTTCTCCCTCCTTTTCATCTCCGAACGCTGTGGAAATGGAGAAATTATCATATATACATTCACTGATTCACACAACATTAACACATGCCACATAACATTATAATTTTAAAAGTTACTTTTAGATAACTTGTTTTTAGTTTAGCTTGTTTTAATTTAAATGAATTTATAATCGAAATATTTTCAAAGAGAAATTTTGAAGAAAAGAAAAGTTCTTTTTAAAGAGTAAAATAAAATAATTTAAACGGATTTCTAATCTTATAAACAATAAGAAATTCATGTTTAGAATTTCCACAAAAATACTGTTATAATCAATTAGTGTTATTACTTTACTATCAATTAATTTTACGGTTAAATCAATTATGTTGATCCAACAGTTATATTTATTTTCATCATTGTATGGTAATGATTCCCGATATTTAATGTTTTATATTTATTTCTATCTTTCTATGGTTATGATTTTTCATATTTAATGCTTTTACATTAAATATGAGGAATCATAATCATACAAAGATGAAAATAAATATAACTGTTGAATCAACATAATCGATCTAACGGTGAAATTGATGAATAGTAATATTAGTAGTAACACTAATTGATTGTTACAATATCTTATCCCTTAGAATTTAATATTTATGTAAGCTTTGTTTTTGCATTATTTGTGCAACAGTTTATATAATTTATATATTAGCTGAGTTTATAAAGAAACATTTTATTTAAATTATTTTATCATGTTAAATGATTGTTATTATGATATGGACTTTTTTAATTTTATTGATAATTTCTTAATACAATTTTTCAATTAATAAATATTTCTTAACTTTTTAAAAAGGTATTTTTTTAAAATTATAGATAAAATATTTGTGAGTAACATATAAAAGCAATTTTCTGTGTACATGAACAACAACATGAATATGCACTATGAGAATCATTTAACCTTGAACAACTCTTTCTCACAATGATTATAACATCTCCTTAATTTTCTTCTTTTTTCTCCCTATTATCTTTGTATAAATATTAGTACACACATGTGAATGCCATTCTTTAGTAAAAAATAAAATAAAATCGAAGTCCATTTATTTTTTAGATAAAATTTATACAGGAATTGAATTGCCAAATGATTGTGGCTTAAAAAAAAGGCTTTTTTGCTTATATATGAAAGATAAAAGCAACAACAAATTGTGGCTTAAAATTTCTACTGTTATTTTGTGTAATTAATTAAAGGGAAAACATTTTCTCCTTTTAAAGGAGAAAATTTTTCTCATATTAGTGACACATTGTATAAGTGGGTCCCACAAAATAGTAGAAAGAGAAAAAACTAAAGGTGGAACCCACATGTGCTTTGAGTCACTAACCTGAGAAAAATTTTCTCCTTTAAAAGGAGAAAATGTTTTCCCTTAATTAAAACATATTATATTTCACATGAACAAAAAACAGATTATTTATGTATCAAAAAATTTAACAGTTTATTTTTCACATAATGGCAAAGTTGCATTATCAGGGAGATTGACCGTATTGCCACTTTTACCAAAATAAAATATTTGAATACCACTTAATTTATTTTTTTAAACTGTCACGACACCAAAATCACTAAGTAATATAATGATTATAAACTAAATACGTGGCACAATCTCGGTGGTCAAAAGCTAGATCATTCTATACCGTACATTTACTTCACATTTTCACAATTATGTAAAGTTATGTGAATGTGTACAAAAGATTAGTACATTACAAGGAAGACACAGCACTCGCAGCCAAAAATATTACAATGCAGTGTTCAAAACCCTTTTTTGTTGGTAAAAAGAAATTTAGATGGAGTTAGACACTAATATCCTACCAGGATCAAGCAAATCCCTCAATTTATTTAAAGATTTCTAAAAGGAATTGCAGATTACCTATTAATAAGATCCCCACATCGACCAACGAAATCGAATTCATGCAGTTATAGCCTAATCTTTAATCAATTATGTCCCAATAGTTGCCTAGTGTTCAAACTTCAAATTATCTGGTAGCTGAAATCTAAGTTCTGAACAACCGTAAGTGGGACCTCAAGCTGACACTTCAAAAATTCTGACGTGTCGTGTCGTGTCGTGTCCTGTTTCAACTATTAGATTTAATGGATTACGATTACCATTTTATTAAGATTTAATATAAATATTTGAGATATCTTATGTTTCTTTACAAAATTGATAAATATTATTAGTTTAGTTTCATTTTTTTTGTTAAATTATTGAATATTAAATACAATATACACTACATAAATTAAAAATATTATTTAATATCAAAACGTGTCCTAACGTGTCGAAATCTAACATTTTTTAAAATTAACGTGTCGGAGTATCGTGTTGTATCATATCATGTGTCTCGTGTCAGTATCGGTGCTACATAGATTACAACTTACAAGTGTAGTACATCAAATAGATTCCTCATATCATATTCATAGATTCCACCTCATGCTATGAAGTTCTGATTTACGAGGAACTTGTTTAGTTTTTGACTTTTATGATGGATATTTTTTTTTCCATAGTCTAAAGAACCTTTCTTATAGCTTCAAATAAGATTTTGGAAGAATCGATACTTTAATATTGTGGCACAACTAAGTGACACTTGTTAAAGTTTAATCATTCAACCAAATTATTGATTAATTGATAACACTTGAATAAAGCAAATGAGGAAAAGGGTCCCATTTAAATTGTGGGTTTATAGTATTTTATTGAAAAAGTCTAAAAAAAAAAGAAAAAAGCAAGATCCTCCATATGCACTTTGAAGGGATCAAAGTAGGCCAGATCTTGTTGCTGAGTGCTACGAAGAATACTAATTGGAAATCATGTCACTACCAACTTATCAAAACCGGTCTATAAGATTCTTCTATTTCATTTTTTATTAATTATTAGAACTACGTGTATGTTAATTAAAGTTAGTTAATCTCTTTATTGCAGAGAATCCCTTTGTTGACAAGACTACTATATATCCATATTGGTACTTTTGGACTTTGTCTAGTGAGTGGATTATATCGACATTCATATTTTTATTTTTATTTGCAGGTATTGATAATCGAAATAAGTTGTTAAGTATTTATTAAATTTTAATTATATTTAATGTACTTTAAAAGATTTAACAATTCACCAGACTACAGTAACATCATGATATCATAACTCCCGTTCAATGAACTTATTTATAAAATAACTCTGGGTCCAAAATCTTTTGCATGTGAATAATGTTATTGCTTATCAATGCACTGTTGAAAATATTTGCTCAAAATAAATATTCTAGTGAGAGTTTCAATTAAAAGGCAGAAAAGTTTCAATAATGTAAAAAAAGAAACTGTTTTCTTTTTTAAAAAAAGATAAATATAAAATGAGTGATAACTTAAAGAGAAAATTATTATACAGTCATTTCAGTTTACCCTTTAAAATTGGGGTCAAAAATTTAATAAGTTTTTTGGAATAATTTTCATATAAAATTCAACCATGAAATTCTCACCTCGTTTTTAAAGATTTATAAAAGTGATCTAAGTTGATTTTTCGTGTTATTCAGCTTTCTTGGAAAACTCCACTCTCACAACGATGAATCCGTGACAACAATCAAAATGTCACATTATTCACACAAAAAATTACATGAATGCCACGAATCAGATTTTTTTTTCTAAAATTGTCACGTCACCTAACTCGCTATAACATCTGGCGAGTTAGGTGTGCGCACGTGGCAGCAGGTTCATGGTCACGTAAACCGCTGCATAGTATAATGAGATTACGTGGCAGACAGCTTCTGCTCCAGCCTGCCATGCAGCCTAAAATGCTAGGCAACTTGGCGTGTTACGTGTCTGACACGTGGCAAACTCGCTAGGCAGCATAGCATCTTACGTGGCCATCGCTGCGCCATGAAATGCATATGTGACATGTGTCACAGCAGGGACAAACCTGTTGGGTTGTGCAGCATTTTTAGTGGTCTCCACCACTATAAAAACGGTCCACCTCCCCCCTTTTTCCCACTCTCTGTCACTAGTCCCCCCTCCCCTCTGAGATTAGTTTTTATTTATTTATTTTTACTACAATTTAGTTTAATGTTTTAAATTTAAATGCTGTTCTTTTTTTTGTTTTGGTGGACTAAATGCTGTT